CAACAACAACAACGACCGGTACCAGAACCTGTAGCAGCAGCATGAGGCGTAGCAGGCATGCAGGGCTGTAGCCCTGCTGCCGCCACCAGCACCAGCACCAACACCACCACCACCAGCAACAACAACAACAACGACCGGTACCAGAACCTGTAGCAGCAGCATGAGGCGTAGCAGGCATGCAGGGCTGTAGCCACCTCATTACATTCGCCACTACGATCGTGTTCTGATGATACTGCCGGGTGTGCTGGGGCTATGCACCTTTGTGCTTTAACTCGCTCCTCCATCGTCCTCATCATCATCCCCAGCGCTGCTGCGTGGCATCGCGTTTCCTGCTTCCTTTCAGAAGGCGACCTTCAAGCGCCGCCGTGCCGTGGAGATCAAGCACGGCCGCATCGCTATGCCTTTTGGTCAGATGGTGTAGAGATTGATGAAGCCTCGTTGTGCTTGTATATGCAGCAGCACGCCATGACCACTCTACTGCTGCTACGACGACGACACTACTACTCCTACTACTCCTACTGCTACTGCTACTACTACTACTACTACTACTACTACTACCACCACTACCATGTACGACTTACGACTAAAAGCACTCTGGGTCTGGTTTGGGCAGCTAACCACCGGCGCGGCTTGCTGCTGAGGTATGCGACCATTGGCTATATCGCCCCGGAATACTTCCGCTTCCCAGGCTATGCGACAGCATGTAGCCACCAACACAAGCATCACGACGATGTGCCCTAGAACTGTTGTTCGTTGAGTGATCAGGTAAAGTAGCAGCAGAAGTCTGGAGAATGTGCCAAAACGCTTGAAAGCTGAAGGCTACTTGTCGCCATCTCTGGGCTTGAAGTTCTCTGCCTCCTGCCTGCATGTAAAGCTGCCGGCATGGAAGCACTTCGGTGCCGGTGTTCATTTCGGCATGTTGTTTTCATGAGGACCCAAGGTGCTGTCCCAGCCATCCTAACAAACTTTAAAGCCCCAAATCCCCAAACTCAGAATTCTTAAGCTGCAAGGACATGCCGAACGGACTTGCAGCGCTCTCGAAGCTTCCCGTGCTTGGTGGCGCGCAAATCATCGCCTTCGCTGGGCTGATTGAGACCACAGGCATGCGGAGGTGAAAATGTACGGGTCAGAATTTCAATACTATCAATGGCAAGAAGCAGTGACTAGAACAGCAAGGTTGCTTACATAAGAGAAGTAAGGTAGAGACAGGAGGAAAATGAGTTTATGCTTTCATACGATGTATAGTCGTGAGAAAATGGTTGACGACGACAAAAAATGAGACGGTGGTAGCAGTGGTAAGAGTAATGAGATCAGAGGCATTCGTGAAGATCTGATTGTTCGGAGTATTCAGAGCAGTAAGAGTACTGAGCCTACGAGCAATGCAGAATTGAAAGTTGTGCTTTCTGCCTGGACAGGATTCTTCCAGGCGGCTTCTACCACTGATGGCCGTGGTCCTCGGGAGGGTCAGTTCTCTATGAAGGACTCCACCGAGCGACTTGGCAGCATGCCACGGCCGCGGTGCAAGGCCTAGCTTTCTAGCGGCAATCGGGAGGGACTCCTCAGTTTAGAAGTCTTTCACGATGACGTGGTTGGGAGGGTTCAGCTCTTGTAGACTTTCGGGATTTTGTTGGCTCACCAGCAGCAAGACTTGAATTTCGTCAGCACTCGTTCGCGCTGCAAGCCTCATGACCATTCCCGTCAGAGGCTACTCGTAGAAGCTATGACAAGCACACATATAATTGTTCGTCACAACATCGTCAATACCAGCAGGTGCCAGTAACTAGGGATATACAAAATCGCAACAGGACCGGCGAGCCCGGCAACTATGGCGTCGGCTTCCCCAATTTCGTTGGCAAAGTGGAGGACTCCAAGAACAGACACATGTCTGCGCATATCCTGGCAAAAAGCACATGAATCAGATGCGCCCTTTGCACAATGAGGTTGACACAGTGCCTGTCAGTTGCTGTAGTCTTGAAAACATCTGCCAGCAACCATGCCCGTGCTGCTGCTCGTCGTCCTGCTATCAGCACCGCCACCACCATCGCAACCACCATCACCATCGTCTTGGTCATGTTGACCCTCCTTTTCTTCCTCTGCATCTTCATCGGCCCTATCGTCGTCATCACCATCAGTGGCCAGACAATCAATGCTCAATGCCACGGATTTCCTTTCCTCATCATCACAAGCTTTGCTTTCAGTGTTGACTTACAAGACGGAGATTGATTGAAACGATCATGGAAGTCTTGCCCATGCTGCGTACTGCATTCCTTCAGCATGGACGACGGGCAGGATCCCGAGGAGCGAAAAAAGAAGCTTGCAGCGGAGCTGGCCAATGGACGTCTGGCGATGATGGCAATCATCGGCCGCTCGACTAGAGAGAATGGGAGAGGATGCTACATGAAGATGGCAGATGATGACAGTGGATGATGCACCAATGCATCACCTATAAGCCTTCAATCCCAACTGAGCAACTTCGTGCCAAGGCATGTTCTTCCAGGATGGCCTCACAGGCTCCGCATGGGGAGACTGGAGCTTGTATACAGCCTCGCCATTGAGGGCTGAGCCCGTGTCTGCGGCTGCGGCAGCCGCTGCTGCGAAGGCCCTTCCGGAGAAAGGATTGTACGATCTGTGCTTTTTGGAGGGCCGTAACTACCATATAATCGTGCACCATCGACCTTCCCTCGATTTTTTCCGCTTCGAATGTAGAGTGTGCAGTGGTAGAACGGCCCTTGGTTTACTTTCGCACCTTCTTGAATTGAAGGCTGCCGCCGCCGCCAAGGGCGCCACTGCGACCACTTCTGCTGTGGCCGGCACCGCCGGCGCAGGCTCCTTGTCGAAAGGTGACGGCGTGGCCGGCAAGAAGGGCCCCAGCCCTACTTTCGACCCATCCACACAAATCGGGGCAATGGACCCGCTGGGCTTTTTCGATCCGGCCGGGTTTAGCAAGAAGGGCGACGAGGACGGATTCCGCACCTTGCGCGCTGCCGAGATCAAGCATGGCCGTGCCTGAGTATGTATAGACTACAAGACTGTCGTTATGACGTGATAGTTTCTCAAGCGTAAGCTGTCCATTCCACTTTGGGCTTGCTATGGGCCGCAGGTGTTGCCATGATGGCGGCCTTGGGCGCTGTGGTTCAGCACTACGTCAAGTTCCCAGGCTTTGACTCTGTGCCCAGCGGCCTGGCAGCTTCCATTACCGCGCCGGGCAGCTACGGCTTTGTGGCCCTCTTTGCGGTATCTGGTATCTTGGAGCTCGGTGCCTGGACCGAGAGCGCTGACAAAGAGCCGGGCAACTTCGGCGACCCCGCCGGCCTGAACCAGTACACCCAGGTTCACGGCTATCCTTTCTCAGCCGTGCAGTTACCAGCATAGTGCAACCGGAGGGGTGTTTAGGTCAAGGAGTTCGGGGCACACCAATTCGAGACCCGAAATCCGAATAAGCGCAGGAGATGAGAGAGCGGGAGATTAACAACGGCAGATTCGCGATGTTCGCAGCCATTGGTATCATTGCGGCTGAGTTGTACACAGGTAAGGATGCCATCGAGCAGTTCGGCCTCTGAGCAAATTTAAGGATGCGCGATGCTCCGTGAACTTTCCAGGGAGCCCAGTCACAGGCTTGTGAACCTCAACCGCCTCAACCTGCCGTAGCAGCAGAACTAGGACCGAGTACCGACTTTGAAGGGAACTTACCATGAAGCAGGTTAGATCTACTTGTATAGTTGCTTCGCCCTTACATCAGGGTTCCTTAAATCATACAGGGG